GGGCAGGAGTGGAGCTCAGGCTGGGAGTGTGTGCATCGAGTCAACAGGGGCTTTAGAAACTGGGCTTAGCTGGGCGCGATGGCTCATGCCTGTAATCCCAGCACTTCAGGAGGCTCAGGCTTCAGGAGGTGGAGGTGAGATGATTGTCTGAGCTCCTGAGTTGGAGACCAGCCTGGGAAATATGATGGCTCACGCCTGTAATCCCAGCACTTCAGGAGGCTCAGGCTTCAGGAGGTGGAGGTGAGATGATTGTCTGAGCTCCTGGGTTGGAGACCAGCCTGGGAAATATGGCAAGATCTTGTCTCTACAATACATCAGAAAATTAGCCCAGTGCGATGGTGCATGCCTGTAGTTCCAGCTACTTGGAAGGCTGAAGTGGCAGGATTGTCTGAGCCCAGCAGATCAAGGCTGCATTGGCGGTGAACATGCCACTGCACTCTAGCCTGAGCTACAGAGTAAGACTCTGACTCAAAAAAAAAAAAAAAAAAAAAAGAAGGAAACTGGGCTTGCTGCCTCTGTCAAGCTGTAGCATACTTAACTGAGCCTGGGAATCCCTGAAGGGAGCTGTTTTAACTGTGTCATCCCTGCCTCCCTGGCCCTGCCCCTGGATTCTGATTTAGGAGTCTGAAGAGGCCTAGGAATTTGCACTTTTATTTATTTATTTTTTTGATTTGAAGTCTCACTCTGTCGCCCAGACTGGAGTGCAGTGGCCGCTCCTGTCCACCGCAGCCTCGACCTGCTGGGCTCAAGCGCTCCTTCCGCCTCAGCCTTCCAAGTAGCCGGAACTACAGGCACGCACTACCATGCCTGGCTAATTTTTTGATTTATTGTAGAGATGAAGTCTCGCCAAGTTGCCCAGGCGGGTCTCGAACCCGCGGGCTCAGGCAACCCACTCACCTCAGCCTCCCAAAGTGCGGGATTACAGGCTGAGCCACCGAGCCCGGCGAATTTGCACTTTTAATAAGGTCTTAGAGTCTAGGGAGACCCTGCCGTCCCTCTTCACTAAACCAGTTTCTAGCGTGGAGCTCATGACTTGCCCACAGACTCCCAGTGATTCACCTGGAACTGACTTTGCCTTTGCGAATCCAACTATGTCAGTATTGATCATCCACATCTGGGATCCACTGTAGTGTCCTTCCCTCCCACTCTGCCCTTTTTGCCTTTTCACTGTTGTCCAGCTATTGTCCCAGGGCCCTGACCTCACTTTTTAATCCCCAGACTGGTCCTTGTTTGTTTCCTATGTTTATTCAATGTACACTCTTTGTCTTTCTCAGGAAACCTGTGCCAGCCAGTGGCTGAACATCGTTGAGAGAGGCTAAGCATGGCTGTCCTAATTGCTCAGAGGCTTTTTCTCTTATAGTCCTTTACCTTTTCCAGTTTTTTCCCTTTTGTCCCAAAGTGGTCATGTCTGCCATGCTTGGCTGTTTTCACTCTTTCTGAATCATTAAAACTAACAACCAATAGACAGCTTACCCTTCATTTCTGCCTCATATTGCACATGAAAGTGAGCTTGTTCCCATGTCTTTGCATCTCTATTGTCCCCTTGTCAAATGAGGGCCTGGTGAGAACACTTAGGTTCTAGTCTTCATGCTGCCATCCACTCACAGTTTGATCTCGGGCATGTCACAACTACCTGTGAGACTTCCTGTGCTGCATTGAGAGACTGTGTTGAAAGCAACTGCCAGCTGGGCTCGGTGGCTCAGCCTGTAATCCCGTGCCTTTGGGAGGCTGAGGTGAGTGGATTGACTGAGCCCGCGGGTTCGAGACCTGCCTGGGCAGTGAGACCTCATCTCTACAATAAATAAAAAAATCAGCCGGGCGTGGTAGCGCGTGCCTGTAATTCCGGCTACTCGGAAGGCTGAGGCGGAAGGATCACCGGGGCCCAGCAGGTCGAGGCTGTGGTGGCCGGGAGCGGCCACTGCACTCCAGTCTGGGTGACAGAGTGAGACTCCAACTCAAAAAAAAAAAAAAAAGCAACTGCCTAGGAAAATCCTAACTTTGCAAACTTGGCAATTTACTTAAACTCTCTATGCCTTAGTATTCTCATCTATAAAATGGAGCTAAGAAGATAATTCCCCTTATCATTGAGTGACGACGTAACCATTTTAGAATAGTGGTGGCATCAAAACTCATTGGCATTTCTCCCCCATGGATGAGAGAGCAGGGTTGCTTTAGATTAGCACTTCCCAAAGTATACTCTGAGACACTCTCCCACAGGGTGCTCAGCAAGGAAGAAAAGGGAGGGGAGGAAGGATTTCTAGGTTTAGCCTTCTGCAGCAAAGAAAACTGTTGAACTGTATTTTGCCCAATTCCAGTTTCTTCCAAACTTGCTTGACCACAGAATCCGTTTTTCAGAGGACCTCCTAACATCCTCACTTCTCCCACAGAATACTACTGAGAAGTGCCCTTCCAGCCTTGACATGCATGGGAAAGAAGGCAGCTTGGGTCATGGAGCCCTTCCTGTGTGTCACCTTGTGTGTGGATAGTTTTGCAATGTTTTCTCCCAGCTTCCATGAGAGGAAACTGAGGCCTGAGAGAGACTTGACTGACAAATCTGTTTTGCTCCAAATCCTAGACTCAATCTGCTACTCTTTGTTGTCTCCTTTGAGCCTAAATTTTGAGAGGGGGAGGGTGGAGAAGACTAGTTTGTGGCTCTGTTTTCCAGGAGGCTGTGGAACACCCACATGGCATTTTTCAGCTTCCTGAAAAATGGCAGCTAATCTAATCCACCTGTCCTTCCACCCCACCCACTGACATTTTCTTCAGCCTGACTCTCTTTCTTTATGAACTGATGGCCCCACAGCCTCCACAAGAATCCATAGTCTCTCTCCAGGTCCTCTCCACTTGAACACAAATTGAGAGTAACCAGGCTTCTTCTAATATGAGAGGGGGACCCAAAAAAACAAAACAAAAACCAGAATTATCTTTTGGAGAGCAGCCTCTTGTAGTACACTTGGAATTTGTTTCTCCTGATCAGTCAACCAAAGTTTTTATCTGGAAATTTTAAGAAGGTTGCATAACGATTTGCAGAAATATCCCAAGTTGTGGCAAACAGGTGTCTGATTCTTCCATCATGACAACATACCTGCCCACACTACGCTGAGTGTTCAGCAGTTTTTGACCAAAAAAACGGCATGACCCTGAGCCCCACCCTTCCTATTCATCTAATCTCACCATGAGCAACTTTTGTTTCTCAGGATGAAAAAAGTCCTCAAAGGGAAACATTTTGCTGATGTGGAAGAGGTAATAACAAAAAACAGCAGAAGCACTAAAAGGCATCAAAATGGATGAATTCAAAAATTGGTCTGAGCAGTAAAAAAAAAAAGTCTCAGTAGATGTATTGCATCAAATGGAGGGTACTTTGAAGGTGACTGAAGTTTAAACACATAAGAACAAATACACGATGTTTAATAAATAAATTCTGGGTTTTTTGGGGGGGGGTCCCTCTCATAAAGTCTTTGGCAAATCCCTTCCCTTCTTGGGACCCTTTTCCTCTTCTGAAAGTGAGAGGGGGTGGAGAGAGACCAGATCTGTATTTTCAAACTGAGTTTCAGCAGAACTTGGATCTCTCTCTCTCCTCTTTACCCAGAGCCCCATGCTTTATATGAGGAGTTACAAGGACGATTTTAATTGGCCAGTGTTCCCTGGCAAAAATGTTGAAAGCCAGGGGACTAAAGACTCTCTGAGAACACCTCTAGCCCTGACATTCGAGGATTCTAATACTTGGCCACTGTCTTAGAAGGCAGAGGCTTCCACGAGCTCAATGCAATTGGGCCAGATCTTCTTAGCTGGGTGAGCACTGGCAGTGCTTGCAGAACTGCTTGTGCCAAGGAGAGCTTACCTGGGGACTAGAGGGGCCCTTCTCGTCCTTGAGGTGAGCTAAATGATCCGTCATGCCTTTATCTTGTCAAACACCGTTATTGAACCTGGTGTGGACATTTAAAAAAAATTTTTTTATTTTGAAGATGGGGGGTATAATTCAGAGTTAGGTATACAAATATTCATTATGCAGGTACCCTTGTTGATGAGGAATGCCCCTGCCTCCTGGTGTGGGCATTTAAAATTGCCATCCAGCTCCCATCTTCTCCTTTCTTGGAGACTGGGAGGCAGCACAGTGACCTGGAACACACTGGGCTTTGGAATCAAGTTTGAATCTAAACTCTGCCAACTTAATAGCTTTGTGACTTCCAGGATATTACTTAACCTTTCTGAGCTTAGTTTCCCCAATTTTCCTTACTATATAATGGGTCTAATTGTCCCTGTGACACAAAGACCCATTGTGATATTAAAATGAGATAATGTATAAGAAGCCCTTGATGCCACCCTGAACTCAGGGCAGAGCAGGCACTCTTTAAAAAGGGCATTTAGACAAGCTCTGGGAGTTTTACCTGTAGTCTTTCCGATAAGGCTGTGAACTCATCAAGGTAGGTCGGTGACCTTTCTCCATAATGCTGGGCACAGAACTAGGCTCAGCAGATGCTAAATGAATGAGTGGACAGATGTGGAGTACAGATTGAAGACAGCTGCCCTTGGGTCCCTCCATGATAAACACTTCAAGATCCACCTGGGTTCACCAGGACAGGACTCCATGCTCCCCTCACATAGCTCCCTTAGGGGAGTGTGTTCCAGAACTGGAACAGAATGACTAGAGCCTGGGGGTAAGAAGCATCAGCTGTACTTAGAGGACCCAGAGGGGACATCCCCACATAGACAGAGGGCACTGGCCTCTTGAACCTGATTGGCCCAGTGAGGATGGTCACTCTACCACTGTCACTTCCCCATGGAGCAGGACCAGCTCAATTCTAGCTCTGCTGCTGGCCCACCTGGGCAAGTCCCTGCTCTGTATGACCTCAGTTGTCCCTGACGATCTCTGATGGCCCTTCCAGTACTGATGTCCAGTGACCCTTTCTGGGCTTCCAGAGGAGGCTGCTGGAGGGCATTAGAGGCCATGACTTCCACTGCCCTAAGCCCTTTGTGATGCAGATCCCCTTCTCTTTCAGATGCATTTCATCTTTTCAGATAAAGTGGTGCTTCTGTTTGATTTCTGGAGTGTCCACAGTCCTGCAGGTAAGAATTGGGAAACTCGAACCTGTAGCTTGGAAAGCCTTGTAGCACCAGGCAATGGAGGACTGGATCTTCTTAATTTTCTGTGGACATTTACGTGAACCTGACTCCTCTGGCATAAACACTGAGCGGGAACTTTGCATTTATAATTCCATTTGCCGTCACTACCCTTCAGATAGATCCATTATCGTACTGATCCTCACAGAGGCTGAGAGAGAGGTGAGGAGGCAGCTTTGCCACCTATTACGGGGAAGGAACTAAGGCCCAGAGAGGGGAACAGACTTGTGCAGGGTCTCACAGTGAATATGCATCAGAACCAGACCTAGATCAATGTTGCCTGACGCCATCTGGTGCGTCCCTCATCCCGGGTTCATTGTCCTGCACTAACTCAGAAGCCCACAGCTACAGATGAGATATCAATTTCAAAGGGAAGGCCTTTGGAGGATGGCGACTGAGTCTGCAGATGCCATCCCAGAAGCAGGAGGTGTCACTTCTCTTCCACTTCCCGCTGCAACCAACATAGGCCATTCCTACCATAGTAAAAAGAAAAGAAAGAAAGGGAAGAGTATTCCTTTGACTGGAAAAGACAGAGTTTGGCATTAATTCATGATGGAGTTATTTTTCTTTTCTTTTCTTTTTTTTTTGAGTTGGAGTCTCACTCTGTCGCCCAGACTGGAGTGCAGTGGCCGCTCCTGGCCACCGCAGCCTCGACCTGCTGGGCTCCGGCAATCCTTCCGGCTCAGCCTTCCAAGTAGTTGGAACCACAGGCGCATGCTACCACGCCCAGCTAATTTTTTTGATTTATTGTAGAGATGAGGTCTCACCTGCCCAGGCGGGTCTCAAACCCGCAGGCTCAGGCAATCCACTCACCTCAGCCTCCCAAAGGCGCGGGATTACAGGCTGAGCCACCAAGCCCGGCTGGAGTTATTTTTCAACTTAAATAAGTACAGTTTTAAAATAGACTGGAAGCAGCCCACTGCAGGTGCAGGCCAACTACATTATGGACCTCCCTACAATAGGTTACCATTTCTTGTTATCTGTAGCTGAACAAACCATAGCTTAAAACAACAGTCATTTTATCATTCTCAAGGGTCTGAGTTGACTGGGCTCAGCTAAGTGGTCCTCACTCAAAGCCTGTCATGCAGGTGTAGTCAGACAGTAGCTGGAACTAGAGTCATCTTAAACAGTTCCTCACTCTCATGTCCCGTAGTTGATGTTGCGTAGCTGTGACCTTGGCTAGGGTTGCTGGCTGAACACCTGCATGTGATGTCTCCTATGACCTGGGCTTTCTTGTGGCAGAGGGGCTAGATTCCAAGAGCACGTGTCCCAAGAGAACAAGGTGGAAGTGCATGGAATTTTCAAGACCTAGCCCTGGAAGTCACAAAGCATTATTTCCACCTTTATTGGTTGAAGCAGTCACAAAGGTCTCCCTAGGCCGAAGGAGAAGAAACATGGGCCCTACCACTTGGCAGGAGTGCTGACACTAAGAAGAGCACATGAGGTGGGATAAATTGGGACTGTATTGGAAAACATAATCTACTACAGATATAATGGACCCACTGAGAAAAATAAGGTGCATCTGCGTGAACTGAGGAGAACCCTTGTATAAGGTACAGTTGAATGATAAAGTCAAATGCAGAGGAGTATACACAGATAGGATTCTGTTATTTAGACAAATAAAGGCTTATCTATATTGAGTAACAGGTTGCTCTGAGGAGGAGAATTGGGGTTTTGGGAGTCTGGGTGGGAAGAAACTTACTTTTCATTGTATACCTTTTGTACTGTTTGAATTTTTAACATGTGCATGCAATTACCTCTAATTTTACATTTTAAAAATCTGCATCTTTTGCAGATGTTTTCTCCCTGAGAGCCTGTGAAGGGAAAAAAAAACTCAATTTACTATTTCTCCTTTTCTTACGTTCAGCACACTTCTTTGACCAGATGTGTAGGTTTTTCCCCCACACTGACCAACTTTGTGATACCAGCTGGTGTCCTCCAATTTAAATCCAACACTGACCAGAGTTAGTGCAGACCCCACTGGTTAAGAGCACAGTCCCACAAGACCGCCCCTACTTCAGACACCAATCACAAGTACCAAGTTGTCTCCTGTACTTCTGACCAACTGGCTGTAAATCAAGGTTCCCATGACACCCTATTTGCTTATTTGCCAGAATGGCTTATTTGCTTATTTGCCAGAATGGCTCAACAAACCACCGGGAAACACTTTACTTAGTTTACCCACTTATTATAAAAGGATACAAATGCACAGTCAGATAGGAGAGATGCATAGGGTAAGGCATGTGGAAAGGGGCTCGGCACCCTCCAGGTACCTCCACATGTTCTTCAACCGTAAGCTCTCCAAATCCTGTTCTTTTTTTAAAAAATTGATAGTGGCCAGGCTCGGTGGCTCAGCCTGTAATCCCAGCACTTTGGGAGGCCGAGGCGAGTGGATTGCCTGAGCCTGCGGGTTTGAGACCAGCCCAGGCAACTTGGTGAGACCTCAATTATACAATAAATCAAAAATTGGGCCAGGCATGGTAGTGTGCGCCTGGATGCCTGAGGCAGAAGGATCGCCAGAACCCAGCAGGTTGACACTGGGGTGGCCATGAGTGTGCCACTGCACCCCCTGGGTGACAGAGTGAGACTCCAACTCAAAAACTTTTTTTTGATAGAAAATAATTGTACAGATTTTTGGGACATATGATATTTTGATACCCTCAATACAATGTAGAACAATCAAATCAGGGTAGTTGAGATATCCACCACCTCAAACATTGATCTTTTCTTTGTGTTGGGAATATTACAATTCTTCTAACTACTTTGAAATATACAATAAATTATTACTAACTATAATTTCCCTACTGTACTGTCAAACACAAGAACTTACTCTACCTAACTGTATCTCTTTGGGTTATTATGGAGGCTTCATAGATAACCATGACTGATTATATCATTGGCCATTGGTGATCAACTCAATCTTCAGTTCCTCTCCCTCCCCACCCAGTGGTTGGGGCTGGGACTGAAAGTTCCAACTTTCTAAGCACAAGGTTGGCTCCCCAGACAATTAGCCCCCCTCCTCAGGCCATCCAGGAATCCTGCCCCATTGTCTCATTAGCATACAAAAAACACTTATTGCTCTAGATTTTCCAAAGGTTCTAGGAGCTGTGTGCCAGGAAACTGGGTCAGAGACCAAAAATGTATTTCTTATGTCACAGAACCCAATAAAATACTGTAGCTGGACCATGTATTACCCCTCTCTCCATTTGTGAACTAGAAGTAGCAGTTGGCAATTAATTTTACACAGTAGTAGCTCTAGTGAGCAATGTTTTCTGTAAAATAACTCACTGGGGTTTTTTCCCTGTTATAAAAGTAATATGTGCCCACAAAAAGAAACTTTAGAAAATTAGACAAGAAGAAAATAAAAGCCACTTGCATCCTACTTTGTTGAGATAACTACTCCTCCTTCCAGACTTTGTGTATCTACATGTAAATAGAACCTTGCTGTACTTATCCCTTAACAAGCAGTTGTGGCAGCGAGTTGTGCGGTGTGCTGGGGAAGTGGCTGAGGTGATGGTATTTAGCTTCTTCACCCTCAGCTCCTGGCTTTTTCAGACCACTTCTTTCTGACCTCAAAGCCACACTCCAGTAGGCCATCCCTGCCAAGAAAGGTCTGGAAGGGGAAAGAGATAGTGAAGAAGTTCTTTGTTTGTGGAGGGTGGGGAAGATGCAACAGGTCAATGGAGTGGATTCCACGGAATGGGTGGAGGTGCTGGTAGGGAAGCCATGCTACCTTGGCCAGGTCTCTGCAATGCATCCTCTTTTGACAGGGATGGCCCTTTCAGTGTTGGTGGTCCTGCTTCTGGCTGTGTTGTATGAAGGCATCAAGGTTGGCAAAGCCAAGCTGCTCCACCAGACACTGGCAAGCCTGCCCACCTCCAGCAGCCAGCAGGCCATCACAGAGATGGAAGTGGATTCTGCTGGTTCAGATTCACCTCCCGTCAGCAGAAACCACAGGTACAGTCACTGGGTGCGGGGAATGGGCAAGAGACCTACATTCACCCTGAGAGATAGGCTGGGCCAGAGAGCACTAGCCCCACTTCACAGAAAGGACACTGAGGCCCAGGAAAGGACCAGAACTCACCAAAGTGGTTACTGTGTGAGTTAGAGCTCAGGTTTCCTAATGCCCAAGTCAAAGCTCTGTCTAGAACAGCCACCTGGGAGGGTCAGAAGGGTTTCTTTAAGTAACTGATCTTCAAAGCCCTAGCGCAGGCCTTTATCTAGCAACAGAGGTGGCCACCCAGGTTCTCCTAAATTTCACCAGGTCCCTTAGTCATTAGACCTCTAGACCCAGGAGGGGATCTGCAGCTGTCCTGAAGCAAGTAATGAAAATACAATATTACCTGTTAGGTCTGGGAGAATTATTAGGTCAGTGGGCCAGTGTGCTGAGCTGATGGTGCAGGTAACATGCAAAGAATTGCACAGAAATGAGATTGGAATACATGGTTTATTTGGAAAGTAGATTAGGGAGAGAAAGAAAAGGGGGATCCACCTACCCTAGATTGGGGAGGGGCCCAGAGCTTACAGAGAAGCATGGCATCAGCTGCTTGAGGCTGAATGCTTTTTAAACCTTTCCTTTGGTGTGGGGGTAGGTCATTAAGGTGATTGGGTGGTAGTCTGTTTTAAGTCATCATAAAGGGGCAGGCAGATGGGTGGGTTCATCACGTAACTGTTGCCATGGTGATGAGGTCTGTGTTACGTAGGTCATCCTGGTTCTTTACGGCTAAAAGACAAACTTGGAGTAGAAAGATAAACAGTATAAAGCAGGCTTGGGGAAGGGGGTTGTAAATTATCAATAGCTATCTCCGGGAAAATGATTCTGTCCTTGGCTAATGACTAGAGGATACTTTAAACTAGAAAAACATGACAAAGCCATGCAATGTTAAAGTAGCTGCTCTTTGGCTAAGATTATTTTATTAAATCATTTCATTTTGCCATTTTACCCTTTCTATACCCCACTTGGTGGGAAGATGGAAGCACCCTCTCATCTCTCCTTTTCTCCCTTCCCATTCTGATCCAGCAACTGTTCGGGATCCCCATTCTGCCCTCTCTCCAGCCCAACCTCACCTGGGTTTAATGAGCATGCCTACTCCACCGTCAGCCACCCTACATGCATGCCTCAAATCTTCATAACCACCCTGCAAAGGCAATATTCATATTCCTGTTTTACTAGTTAGGAAATTTAAGTTCAGAGCGGTTAAGGCATTTGTGCTAGGCCATATTTAGTAAGTGACAGAGCTAGAAGTGATGTCACCAAAGTCCCTGCTCTTTTCATTGTCATCCCACAATAGGATGGAAAAAAATCTGCATTACTGATTTTCTTATCTCTTACCAGACAAGACAGATTAAACATCCTATTATTTTCCCTGTTGCTAGGATGTCAGAAGCTCAGAACTACATGTGGTGGGCATATGTTTCTTTAAAAATAATTATCTCCTGGGTTAAGTATACAATCATATATAAATAAATAAGGTGGTCCTGTGACTCAGTGGCTTTCTATTTCCTGATACCAACTCTAGATCATTACCAACATTAACCTGATTCTCCTTTTTATCTAGGTGGTATTTGTGTCACTTTGGCCAGTCTCTAATCCATATCACCCAGGTGGTCATTGGCTACTTCGTCATGCTGGCTGTAATGTCCTACAACACCTGGATTTTTCTTGGTGTGGTCCTGGGCTCTGCTGTGGGTTACTACCTAGCATACCCACTTCTCCGCAAGGTGTAGCAGGTGAGGGATGTGCAGGTACTGAAGCTGAGAAGAGCTAGGGCCCCTCTTCCAGACATTGTACTTCCAGCTGCTTTTTCTTCTGATGGCAGTTCCTCACCTCATCCCAGCCCCTGGAACCTCTGAGCTGAAGCCAGCATTTGCATCCTGGAGTTCAGAGGCAGCTACCAAGACTGTATAGGGCCCAGATCTAGTCTTGTGCCTTAAGAAGGCTGCTATGACCCAAAGGAGAATGGAGAGAACACAACTGGTGGTTAGGGTTGCTGAGCCTATGACGATGTTATCTCTGTGACTCCAAACAATTTCCAAAGATCTTCAATACAGGGAGAAAGGTTCTGGGTGGTAAAAGGCATAGAACTTGGATATCCTCAGCTCTCCTGCTTTGTGCCTTATCTATAGGAGCACCTTCCATTGGACTTCCTGCCCTCTTGTCTTTGGGGGACAGAGACCAAACTAGCTCCTTTCACTCACCTTTTTGCCTTGGGAACACATGAAGATTGTCCCTTCTACGGATCATGTGGACAGATTTAAAAATTTTTTTCCATTGGACTCTTGGTTGGCAATTTTGCACATTGACAGAACAAAATTTTTAATGAAATGAGTTCACATTCTTCATGATGGATGGCAGCATCTACTGAAACCTATTTCCCTTTCTTTGGGGGAGAATAAGCGACAGCAGATTAAAGGCAAAGATGCAGGATGTTAGCAAGGCTCCTGGCTTATCCTCTGGATAGACTGAGCCCCTCCCATCAGAGGGCACTATCTACAGGAGAAAGACCATCTAACAGCCTTGGGTGTCTGGGCAGCTCTTCGTGGCCTTTCTGCCCTCCCTCATCCTGGTCCTTTTTTGGTGCAGAAGAAAAAACTGCATGTAATGATATTCCATACTTAATGTTCTCTATTTATTACTTATTGCTCACTCATAATGATAGGGTGGGGAAATATGATTCATTCACTTAAAATGCTGATTAAGCCATGGTGGGTACTGACTGAGAGGTAATAAGCAGTCCAACCAAAGCTTTTACGTTTTTAGAGTTGGATGGGACTCTCCAGATAGCTGAACCTCTTCACAAGAAAAGGGAAGAGAGAAAATCACTGCTGTATACTGTACCTCGCAGGCTAGATGAAAAGATAGTCGCAAGCTTTGGGAATTAAAAACAAATACATTATAATAAATATATATTTTTAAACAGTGTGTGACTGTTCTTCTGTCTTTCCTCATTCCAACAGCAAGCACGTGAACTCTTTTAACAACTGCAGGAGTTGAGTGGGGCAAATGGAGCTGGTAGTGCTCTTTGTGAGGCTAAGGACGAAGTCTGTCCATCTGCTGGGAAGACAGTTTTGTGCGTGGAGAACCCAGCCCTGAAATGCTGTCCCCATAGGCAGACACCCTAGAATGCCAACTCTGTCAGCAGTCATTCTTTTGTTCATATAACAAGCATTAATTAAGTGGCTGCTAGAAGAAAGGGATCACGTGGTCTGTAAATACTTGTGTGGGCAAAACTATGAGCACCTTCTCTCCCTAAGGGCTGAAGCAAACATAAAACAACTTTGTAATTTACAATAAGAAATAACCGTCACAGAAAGAGTATGTGACAGCTTTAGGAGTGATCAGTGTATTCTCCATGTCTGCAAGGAACTGGAAATCTGCCCAGTGTCTCTGACGATCATTCCGCCTCAGCCCTCCAAGTAGCCAGATCTACAGGTGTGTGTTACCACACCCGACTAATTTTTGATTTATTATAGAGATGAAGTCTCTCCAAGTTGCCTGGGCTGGTCTCGAACCCGTGGGCTCAGGCAATCCACTGGCTTTGGCCTCCCAAAATGTTGAGATTACAGGTTGAGTCACTGAGACCGGCCCTCAACTGGTTTAAGATTTTTCTTTTTTCTTTTTTGAGTTGGAGTCTCACTCTGTCACCCAGACTGGAGTACAGTGGCTGCTCCTGGCCACTGCAGCCTCCACCTGCTGGCCTCTGGTGATCCTTCCGTCTCAGCCTTCCAAGTAGCTGGAATTACAGGCACGTGCTACCACACCTGGCTAGTTTTGATTTATTGTAGAGATGAGGTCTTACCAAGTTGCCCAGGCGGGTCTCAAACCCGTGGGCTCAGGCAATCCACTCACCTCGGCCTCCCAAAGCCCTGAGATTACAGGGCCACCGAGCCTGGCCGGTTTAAGATTTCTAACACAGTGTGCAGTCTTGCTGATGGAGCTGCAGCAATCCATCTCTAAGTCCCTACCAGCAGGGGGCCTCTCCCGGGGCACTGTTAAAACTGTGCATCTCCACAGATGACTAGCAACTTCTTCATCCTGACAGTCTCTTTAAATGTGGTAATACATTTGTGGCTTTTATAGTATAGAGGACTTAAAAAGTTTTAAGAATCTAGGCCTCATGCCGGGCTCGGTGGCTCAGCCTGTAATCCCGCACCTTTGGGAGGCTGAGGTGAGTGGATTGCCTGAGCCCGCGGGTTTGAGACCCGCCTGGGCAGCGAGACCTCATCTCTACAAAAAGTCAGCCAGGCATGGTAGCGCATGCCTGTAGTTCCGGCTACTCGGAAGGCTGAGGTGAAAGGATCGCCGGACCCCAGCAGGTCAAGGCTGTGGTGGCCGGGAGCGGCCACTGCACTCCAGTCTGGGCAACAGATTGAGACTCCAACTCAAAAAAAAAAAAGAATCTAGGCCTCGAAGGCAATCTATTGCTCTCATTTCGGCATTGTTCTGAGCTTAGCGCAGTCACAAAAGGTGGTATTTTCCCTAATTTTTTTTTTTTTTATTTAACACCTATATAGTATTGCTTATGTGTCAGGCAGTGTTTTAAGCACTTTACAAATATTAACTCATTTAGTTCTCATGATGAGATAGAAATTATTCTACCCTCATCTTGGAGATGAGCAGCTAAGGAAGAGAAGTTAAATAAAGTCACTAGCTAATAAGTGGCAGAGCCAGGATTCAGCCAGGCAGCCTGGTCCATTGTCTGTTTCTTCATCAACTTAGATGAGGGGATTGAAGCTGAGACGGTGAGTTACCTGACTAATGCCAATCAGCACTCAATGGAGCAGGGGTGTGAATGCAGATCGTAGAGACTAAAAAGCCTCCTTGTAATTACCATAATGGTAGAAATTCTGCTTCAGGAGATCTAGGAGCCTTATTTCTAAGAGGATCACTCTCCCCTTCTCCCATCCCAATGATGGTCAGGCAGAGAACACTGCTGCACTGGCCAAGAGCTCAGGCTCTCAAATCGGATGGTCAGGATTTGAATTCTTGTTCTGATGCTTTCTAATTATGTAACTTTGGACAAGTTACTTTACCTCTCAAAGCCTCAGTTTTCTCCTCTATAAAATGGGGATAATGTAATGGTGTCTTCTGCAATAGATGCTGGAGATAAGAGTTTATATGAAGTGACAGACAGCAGTGCCTATTTGTTAAGCAACAAAGTAAACATGGAAATTCTTGCTGCCTCTCAGGACTATATATGGTAGAGAGGCACAAAGTCTGCAAAAATGATGTCAGGCCAGGCAGAGTGGAATTCAAGTCTGTATCTTATAAACACTTAAAATCAGGGACCGGCCAGTCGCGGTGGCTCACGCCTATAATCCCAGCACTTTGGGAGGCAGAGGCAAGAGGACTGCCTAAGCTCAGGAGTTTGAGACCAGCCTGAGCAACATGGCAAGACCTCGTCTCTACAATAAATCAAAAAAATGAGCCGGGCATGGAGGCACACACCTGTAGTTCTAGCTACTTGGAAGGCTGAGGCAGAAGGATCGCTTGAGCCCAGCAGGTCGGAGGCTGTGGTGGCTGTGAGCAGCGTGCTACTGCATTCTAGCCTGGGCGACAAAGTGATACTCCAACTCAAAAAAAAAAAAAAAATTAGATTCTCCAACATATGAATCAAAGACCTGGCTTAATAAAGTTAAGGAGGCTGGGCTCAGTGGCTCAGCCTGTAATCCCAGCACTTTGGGAGCCCGTGGGTTCGAGACCCGCTTGGGCAATTTGACGAGACCTTATCTCTACAATAAATGAAAAATTAGCCGGGCATGGTAGTACACGTCTGTAGTTCCAGCTACTTGGAAGGCTGAGGTGGAAAGATCGCTGGAGCCCAGCAGGTCGAGGCTGCAGTGGCTGGGAATGGCCACTGCACTCCAGTCTAGGTGACAGAGTGAGACTCCAACTCAAAAAAATCAATCAATAAATAAAGTTAAGGAGTCAAAAAAATTAATAAATCAGAGAACATTTTTATTAAAAATTTTTTTTTTTTTTAAGAAGACTTGCATAGTCTTCGGAAGATCCTAGAATAAATAAAATGACCACAGATATTTTCTCACAGCTTTTCTCACCCTACATTAGTTCTGGTCCCTGAGTTCAGAGGGAATGGAAGCTGCTCTCAAAGTGAAGAATCCATCAGGTGCCAAGAACAACAGAAAGTAGAGACCCTCCTACCTTCTCTGTAGGCTGTAGGATCAAGCCTTAAGGAGCAAGAGGATGACAGGACTGATCCTCAGATAACCACAGTGCCCCATGGATGAGTTAGGATCACAGAGTGGTGACTTTCTTTGAAAGCCTAGATGTTCCAGAGTTAGGTACCAAAGGGAATATGTCACAACACTTTTGTTCATGTTAACTAACCCAGATCTGTTAAGAGTTCTACCCTTAGATTCCCAAAGAGGAGCACAGACAACCCTTGGAACCAAACTCGATTTTTCCCCAAAGGCTTGAGTCAAGTTTCATTAGACATTTTATTTTCAAATATTCATTGACCTCTTGTATAAGATTTAAGGCAGATAAAAAAGATACATGTCTCAGGGCTACAGACTAGGCTGTGAACTGTACCAGTATCTAGATGGTATACCCTCCCCTCAGTTCTACCAGGGAGACTTCAACTCAGGTGATAGGTCTTGTTGCTGCGGCATAGTTGAGACTGGGCAGTTGTGGTGGAGGGTTCCCTAGTCAGTCTGAGAATTAATGAAGATAATTAAAATCTTGGAAGAAGGCAGGACTCTTGCAGGTGACTGGCTGGAGGGGAATCTATCAGCCCTTCCTCTAGCTAGCTGCTGAAAACCCAGTGTTTCTGAAGACAGGGTAATGCTCCTCTTCACCAGTTCAGGCAGGGGGTTCAGAAGGTGCTTACTCAGATGCCCGAACTATTGTCCCAGAATGCTCACCTTGACCTCACCCTGTGGCTCACCTAGACCCAACATTGACTGTGCAAAATCATGCTTAAGGAAGGGTTGTAGAGAAACCTTTGCACCAGTTTCCTGGGTCTTCATCCCAGCCAGTCAATATCATCGTCATCATCGTCATCTTCAGAAAGGGGTGTTGGAGGTGGACGTCCCTTCATGCTCTGACAAAACAGGAAAGAGTAGTCAGTCCTCACTTGTTCCTGCACCACTGGACTTCCTGCTTGTGAGCTGAAGTGATCCAACTTCTGTTTCTGGCTCCAGGTTGGAAAAGAGATTGTACTGTAAGGACTGAGTCGGAGGCCAGCAAATCTAGGCTTAAAGATAAAGGTGAGGCAAGCATGCAGAGAAGGGAGGCAATCTTTCAACAGAGACAAAAGACCAACTTTGTTTGGCTAATTTTGTCATTTATTTGTGAAGCACATATATTGATTTGACAGGTTTTCCTCTCATGTGGTAACTGACACATTTTGTGTGGACAAAGAAGGGTCAAAGAGGAGAGATGGGAGTAGGAAAAAGAAACAGAAGTAGATAGCCCTAAGAAAGGGAGAGGATGCAGAAGATAAAGGGAGGTTGGGAAGAATACAGTAACACTGAAAAAACACTTGTGGCCTACAGTGGCCTGACTGGCTCTGGATGTGGTCCCCTCATCTGAGCACATTCCCAAGCAGAGGCTCCTAGGAGGTGAAGAGCACAGGGCCACAGCCTCCTAAACCCTAGTCTCACTGGCTCCACCCTTGCTACTTCCAACCAGGTAGGGAGATAGAGGGGATTAACGAGCCATGAGAAATCTGCCCTTTCTATGACTTGAGCTCCTGACCCTTCTCCTCTGAATTGGCAGGGAACAGGTCCCATGAGGTAGCAGGGATTGATGCTAGAGACAGGCACGCACTGAGTAGTCTCTATCAAGGTACCTTCTGTTCTGGTGAGCTATTGCTGACCAGGACCAATCTTCGTAAGGCCAGGCCAAGCGGAAGGCAGCGTGGTATGTACGGAGGTCACTGGGCTAATCCCATCACCATCATGACTTAACAGACCTTGTGCTTCTCTCCAGACATCAATTAAGTGATCTCTAAACTCTGACAGTTTAGGATTTTCAAGTGTGGCGCACAGCTTCTGTTCTATCCTGGCTAAAGTTCTGGCTCACATTTACCAGCTACATAGCCTTAGTTATGTTACTATTTAATTTTCTGAGCCTCTGTCCTCTGATTTATAAAATGGGATAAAAGTGCCTACCTCACTGAATCAGTGGAAAATTTAGTGAAAATGTTTGTGAACTAGCTTTTTGAGTACCCAAGAAATACTGGTTAACTTGGTGACATTAATATTAATACCAATAATATACTTGCTAATTTAAAAATTCCAGCTATGTTGAGGACAGTCAACTTGGAATACTCAACTTTTTTTTTCTTTTCCCCTTTTATAGTGCAGAATTTACATTCAAGATTCTCAAATGAAAATTTAATTCTTGGGAAGAAAGGCTAATGGAAGGAACTGGCATGCTTCCCTCAAAGAAACATAGGCAGAGGGAAGGGCTCTGGTACATTTCATCTGTCATGTCTATCTTCCCAAAGTTTTGGCAAAAGACAAACCCACTCTGGCTGATTCATGAAGGGACAGGATTAACTCCCATTCACCCTCAGATTTCCATCCCTGGGATGGACTGAGCCTGAAGCTCATCTGTGTTCTCCATACTCATTTTACAGCAGTCGAAATGACCTAGTGGCGGCCAGGAATGTCATAACCTAGCACAATGGGAAACAGGAAGTATAAGAACTAGAACTCGAATCCAGGCTCTATTAGCAGCTTCCTTTCCTGGCCTTCGCTCTTGTTCTCTGTGAAGTGAGGCTATGCTGTTAGTACTGAACCCATTTTCTACCCAGGGTTATTGGGTGATGACAGAACAAGGCAGCAGGAAAGCAGACTGAATAAGCAGAAAATGCTCTGAAATAGGTGGTCTTCACAGGATCCTGGGATTTTCGTCCCAGCTTTACCATTAACTTACTCTGTGGCTTTAGGTAAATTATCCTTCTGAGCTTCCATTTCTTTATCTATGTATAAGTCTGCCAGGCAAGATGACCCTCAAAGTCCTTCCCATTTCTAAAATAGAAATGATATCCTGGCAGATTTGGGGAAACCTGAGTCTTTAGCATTCCAGTGTAGGACCAAGCAGCCCAACTTTCCTCACCCCAAGTGAGACTAATTCCTGTATGGACAAAGACTGATTTTTTTTCAAGGGTAAAGTGGTATCTGACCATCCCCACTCTGCTTACAGAGCTGCCCCCTCCCAGCCCCAAGCCTGCTCCCATAGGGCCCTGCACACAGAGCCCAGGGAGTGGGCCACCAGCAGACTCCATTTCTCTTCTCAGAGTCAGCAGGGAAAAGTCCCCAGATGGTTGTGTGAGGACTTGGCAGTGCTTGGGATTTCCTTACCACCTCATCTTCATCCTCCTCCTCCTCGGGCTGTGTTTTGGGTCTCAGGGCTTTCAGAGTTGCCCCTTTAAACAGTTCATCCTCTTCATCTCCAGAGAGACTGAAGGAAAATCAAGTCATAGAAAATGTTGTTGTTCCTGCTCCAGGCCACAATACGCAACAGCTACAAGGGTCACTGGGCCCTTGGGTAGGAATCCAACAGCTATGGGGATCACTCAGGAATTCCTCTCACCTCTGCTGCCACTTTTTCTCCCCAAACCCTACATTAGCCTCCTAGTGCTGCTGCCCCCCCGGAACCTAAAGCCATAGCAATCTTTTAAAAGTAATAACCCAGATCACATCGCTCGTCTGTTAGATCCCTTTAATACCTTCTCACTAGTTGAAGTCTAAACTTTTAACAGCACATTCAAATTTCATTAGTTTTCTAAACACAGCTTAATACTACTCTCCTCCCGATTACTATACCTCCTTTCAGTTCCTTGATTGTGTCATGTCACCTCCCACTGCAGGGCCTTTGCATATGCTATTCTCTCTCTCTGCAATTTCTTCTTCCTATTCCTGGCATGGATGGCTCCTTCCCACCCTCAGGTCTCAATTTAAATGTTACCTTCTCAGACTCCTTCCCTGACTACCCTAGCTAAAGCAGAACAACTCTCTTTATTATTTATGACAGCACCTTGTTTCTTTTTTTAAAGCACTTACCCTACTTTTATAATATATAAATATGTGTCTGTTTTCTTCACTAGACTGTAAGCTCCTTAAACTCAGGAGTCAAATCTGCCTTGCCTACCACACTATCACAGTGCCTACCACAGAGCCTTGTCGGTACTGTAGGTACTGTTGAATCAATACATGAATGCATGAATGAGTTCGTTAGTCAGTCTCTGAGGGATGAGTTTCCAGCCCTGGAAAAAACAGAGACCACCACAACATGTAGCCACTCAATCCCTGAAACTGCTCAGAGGAACATACCTGGAATGCTGAGAACGATGGTTGGGTCTGATGGCTGCTCCTGCAGCTATAGAACCTGCCTCTGTGCTAGACAGCTCCTCAGAGGGACCAGTGGAGCTAGTGACATCCTCATCTTTATTGAGCTCTGGAGGCTCAGGCTCTCCTGCTGGGCTTTCAGGCCCTAAGGACAGTGGGTCTCCCTTCTCAGGATCTGCAGTCAGGGACAGTCTTGTGGAGCTTTCCAACAGTGGGCCAAGTGGGGCTACTTCCCTGACACAGACTTTTCCCAATGGGTTGTCAGGCTTAGCTGCCATGGGACTGGCAGCAAGTGTCTCCTCACACTCAGAGTCCACAGCTACAGGGCCTGGAGGCTTGGGTGGAATCGAAGTCGGGGGTCCCAGAACTCTCCGGGATGGGATGCTAGGAAGTTCAGGTAGGAGGAAACTATCTTTTATCTCTGAGAGTGTGTCTGCTTCTGAGGGCTCCCCTTTCCCTCTCTGACCATCATCCTGAGGAGTGGGGAGGGGCTGAGGAGGCAAAGAGACAATTTCCTTGACCACCTGCTCCGATGGCACCACAGGGGACTCCTGCCTCTCTCTACTATGGGGTGCTTGTGACAGCCCCGAATTGGCTGAGACTGACTGCTCCGGGGAAGGCCTCTGTGGTCGCTCTTCTCCTTTTTCTTCTTCTTCACTGCTGCTCTCTTTCTTCTCTTGTTCCTGTTGGTTTAACAGCTGAAGAGTCACCATCTATTCAAAAGCCAAGAGGAGATGGTCACTGAAAGGAACACAGCAGCCATTCTTAGTTCTTCAGTCCTTACTAATATAACTGGTCGTCTAGTTCAAATGACTTTGCTTCCTCCTGTCAAAAAAGCCTGGCTACATCTGTCAAGTCACTCTAGGCAACTGAATCACTGAGGAACAGTCTTCAATAATATTCATGGTCCCTTAAAAGGTATTTAAGCAACAAAATCCCCATTCCAATGAAACAATCACAAGTTGGTATACCTTGATCGTATTCATGATGGTCCCCAGAATGGTCCTGCCATTGTAAGATTCCTCCAGCTCAAACTCTCCCCGTAAGGACTGAAACACCTGGTTCATGATCTTCTTAACCTGCATTAACATCAAAATGCATGCTGCCAAAATCAGGCCCTTAAGGGATGGATTAAAATTCCAGAAGAGGATTTGGAAGGCTAAAATGAAGCTATATTAGAACTTTACAGTGGGACATAGCTGATTATAAATGGATGCTATCTAAAGGCTATCACTGTGGAGAGGGCAATATTAAATAATGAGAGGTACTTTGACAGTTACCCATCAAGGGCAGGCAAGATATGGTAGACATGCCCAAGACTGCTTAGAGACCATTTCTTGATGCCTGCCTTCTACTGTGAGCATCACAAGAGCTGCCATAGGCTACAAGGGTTAGTGGCTAGTGGATGCTGGACACACTCCCCACCCCCATTCCTCTCCTGTGACTTAGAGGCACTTAACATATCTGTCAAACCTCAGAAGGCAAACCTTTTGGGTTTGCCACTAGAATGGTAAGTTCCAAAGGGTGAATTTTCAAGTGGTACATTATTAAAGTTAGGAAAGAAAAAAAAAAAAACTACCAACACAACGGCCACATTCTTTCTGAATACTTGACATGATATGGTTCGGTTCTTCAAAATATCAGCTCACCTTTTCTGAGGGGTCAGTAGCAGCAGCTTCAATCCCAGACACCTGGGACTTGTTCTTCTCTAGTTCCTTGACGTACTGTTCATTTTGCTCTGTGAGAGCTGTAACTTGGGTCTGGAGGGCTAAACACTGCAAGATGAACAGACTGTGGCTGTAACCTTAAGAACTGGGACTACCAATGAAGGTCAGTAAACCCCAGGGCAGAAGAGAGCCATCCTAAGCACCAACTCTTAACCTCACATAGGTCTGCTGGTGACCACTCCTCAGCCCCCAGCCCAGTACCTCCCCTCAGAGGAGTCTATTTCCTCATCATCAATTTCAACACCCAACTTCACTTCCTCTTTCCCAGTAAGGTCACATGTTGTCCCTAATCAGGTTAAAATAATGAAAAAAGGGCAGGAGTGTGGGTAATAACTCTAATTACACAGATGTAAACATTCAGCATTAGCAGCAACCTATTTACCTAAAAGACTGCCTCCAAGATCTCTGATTTTCAGCTGGATACTTCAAGGAAAGAAACTGGCCTCCAGATATGGGCTTTCATACCACAACCCTAAGCCATGTCCCATCTCTCTCCTTTTTATGCCTGATGGGTCCACTGTACCCCTCTCAGTGCCTTTGCCCAGGATGGTTTGTGTCCTTCTCTGTCTTACCAAAGCTACTTGTCCTTCTTGGCTCTGCTCAAATGTCACCTCTTTTGGGAAACCTTCCCAGTTCCCCTGGGTACTTCCTCTTCTGGGTCCCATAGCACTGAATGCGTATCTTTGTTTCTCTGTCTCCCTTTCTTGACTGTGAGATCTTTGAGGGCAGAGTTCTTTCTATGTACTTTCTCTAACACAGTGACTGGACTACAACTGACACTCAATACATATTTGCTTAATAAATGAAGGATCAAATAAAAATGGAAAACATGCTCCAGAACACTAGCACTGCTTTTTCTTTTGCCAAGTCATGACCTATTATCCAAATAAGTATGTCAAAGACAACTGACAAACTAGAGATAAAGAAGTATGGTTGTCTTCTAGCTATTAACATCTTTTAGGCCCCAAAGGATTGACAGGACTTTAATAGCCTGCCTGCCTCAAATTAACTGAGCTGCCTAAACTGTCTAGCACAAGAAAATACTACCTTTTCCTGAAGTTGTGTCAGCTTCTGCTGGTTGGCATCTCTCTGTGCACACACTTCTTGGTATTGCTGCAGGTGCTCACCCTTGGCAGAGGCCAACAAATGTTCACATTTTGCTTCCCACTGGGTTTGTAGTTCAGCCTGCACTAAAGAGAGCTGCCAAGAGAAAGTAACAATCATATCATCCTGTGTGTTGGCTGGGGGAAGGGGGCCGTCCTGCTGTACCTAGAGAAGCCTATCTGTCATAAGGCAAAAGAATAAGCTAACAGTCAAATTTAACTGGGAAACTTTTAAAAAGATACTTGTTACTTTTAAAGTAAATGTGGTTTTTAAATGTAGGTAGGAAGATGTCATTAGTTGACAAACTCTAAAAGGTGTTCCAACCAGACAAAAGTGTGACTGTCTAGGCAGGTCCCTGGAGTGCAGGGCCATAATATTATCATCACTTTCAGAGTCTAAACCCTAAACTTTAGAGGTTCAGAAAAATTTTTTTGCCAAAAGTTCCCAGAGGTGATCGAATTCAGGTTTCCAATGCACCCTAATTAAATGAATAAAAACATATGAATTTTAAACTTACAATGAGAAAGGCTGCTGTCACATGGACTACAGACCCAGTTGTGCCCTGCCACTATCCCTGGTTTCCCTTCCTGGTTACCTAAATAAATCCCTTCTTTCCAAGGATAATAATGTACCTGAAGGATGGTGTCTGGAAGTTGAGGACTTTGACCTTATCATGTTTGGAATTTTTTGTAAAGAGATTTTTTCATTTTTACTTATGCAATTAAATAATTAAATATTAACTAAGCTTTAAAAAAAGAAAGAAGATTCTCCATTTGATTCCTGGCTCTCCTGCATACTTTTTACACCTTTCTCCAAAGTGAGAGTATCAACTATGAGAAACACCACCCTAAAACATAAGGAAGAAACTAGAAACTTTTCTCTCTGAATCCTTCACACCTTCTTTTTATTTCCAAAGTGCTTCAGTTTCCTATTACCTGCTCTGCAGCTGCTTGGTCTGTGGACACCCGAGTCTTTTTCAAGAGCTGTCGAAGCTTGTCCAATTCTTCCTGGTATGACTTGCGAATTTCATCTATCTCCTCCTCGGCCTGACAACGTTCTTGAGCAGACTTCTTTTTCCTTTCTGAGAGGTTCTTAGAAACAAGAGAACCATCATCAGCTCTAGTTTGCTAATGAGGGGATGGTGGTGGTGGTAACTGTTGACCTTGCTGGGTCTTTACTCCATTTCTGGAAACGGTATGTGTTATAGTTTAACGTGTCCCTATATATTTAACATTCTTGGCTATTGGGTAAGGAAAGTTGTGACAAGGAAAAGGAAGACAAAAAGAGCTTTATCTACCACTCTATTAAGACTACCCTAACACTGGTGAGGGTATGGGAAATCAGACACTCTCACATCCTGCTGGCAGGAAAATAAATGGATATACGCTTTGGATGGCAATCTTGCGAAAAGCATCTAAAAATATGCAAACCCAGAAATTCCACAAATCTGTCTTAAGGATATAATAAATCATGTTCTTAAAGACTGTGTTACAAAGACAATCACTGTAATAGTGTACAACAATGAAACTGAAAACAGCCAAGAGATCAGAGGATTGTTTTTCTTAAAAAAAAAACGGATAGAATCATAAAGAATAAACTGAAATGTAGACCAAGATTTACCCCCTAAAAAGGCACTGGGCCAAAACATCTTCCCTAGTGAGTTTTACTAAAGCCTGAGAAGCAGTTTGCTCTTTTCATATTTAAACTGTTCCAGAACACAGAAAAAGATAGAAATGTTCCTACTTTGTTCAATGAGCTAGTACTAACCTGATATTAAAATTTAACCCACAAAAAATACTATAAATAAAAAGATGGCAAATTAGAAAAACACTAAGTACATCTATGACTGACAAAGGACTGATACCCTTAATAGGGTTTGCAAATTAAACTAATATTACAATAGGAAAGACGGTAAAGAACATTAAAAAGAGAATTCACAGAAAACAAAAATAGGTATAAATATACGAAAGCTTCACTACTAACTAAAACAGCATGTGTCACCTGTCAGACAAATAAAGTTTAGAAGAAGTGGTATATGTAGAGTTGGGAAGAACGTGGCAAAATTGGCTCACTCACAGTGCTGGAAATATAATCCAGGACACTCTTCTTTGAGGATAATCTGGCAATATTTATAAAAAATTCCCTTTGATCCTACGATTCTAATTCAAGCAATCCATCCCATGGGAATGCTCAAATGGATTTGCAAAAGTAGTCATAGAGTATGAGGATATCCATAGCAGCAATGCTTGAAATAAACAAAACCATTCATCAGTAAGTGAATAATTAAATAAATTATGGCACAACCTCACAATAGACTATTATGTAGTAGTTAAATAAGAGTGAGAAAGATCTCTAGCCAGGCACAGTAGCTCATGCCTGTAATCCCAGCACTTTGGGAGGCGGAGGCGAGAGGATTGCCTGAGTCCAGGGGTACGAGACCAGCCTGGGCAACTTGGCGAGATCTCATCTCTACAATAAATTAAAAAATTATCTAGGCATGGTAGTGTATGCTTGTGGTTCCAGCTACTTGGAAGGCTGAGGTGGAAGGATCACCTGCGCCCAGCAAGTTGAGACTGCGGTTGCTGTGAGAGTGCCACTGTACTCCTGCCTGGGTGACACTCAAAGAGAAAGTTATCAGTATACATATATGTATGAGTGTGTATGTATGTTTTATACATATAGAACACAAATTGGAAAAAACATACATTGTCACCTCTAATGCATGAGATTAGAGTGGGGAAAAATAAATTTTTAAAATTTTATGCTTTTCTATATTATTTGTATTTGTTACAATAAGCACATAATATTATAGTTTTTAAAAGGAAAATAAAAATGTTTATTTATTAAACAGCTAAGCCTAGCCACTTGGGTTCAACAGAGAAACTTGGGTTGTAGAATCTACCTTTTCCAGAGACTCCTTCTCAGCTCGAAGGTCAGTCAGTTCCTCTTCCAGGGATGTCACCTTGAGTTCCAGTTGTCTCCGGCTCTGCTTCTCACTTTTGAATTTGGACTGTGCTTGCTCAGAGGTTTCCTGGAGTTCTGGGATATAGGAGCAGAGAGACATGGCTGCAGAACCAGAGCTGCAGTGGACTATGTGTTATTCCAGTGGCTCTTTCAAAGCTGCATTCTTTGATCTCCCAATCCTACCACACAAGCAGCCTCCAGAGACTTCAGTCAGCACTGCTTCACTAATCAGCAGTTAAGATGTACCAGACATAAGCTAACTCCCCCACCAACCCATATTTATCCCATATAAAGTCATCTCTATATGTGTATCAACTTATGTACATACAAAATAGAAACGTTCCAAGCAGTCAGAAACCACCTTTGAGACAGATCATTCCTAAAATTCTATTTGGGTCATTGTATTTGTTTAGTATCTGGGCAGATCTTTGTTTAGTATTGGTCTAGGCCCTTTCTCACTGCCTGAGTAAGATAGCCTTAACTTTCTTGGGAGTTGGGACATTCTACCAAGAGTCTGCTTTCAAAACATTCCTTCTCAAATGAAGCTATTTGAAATATTACTTTTAATTTAATGCACAAAAATGTTTGGAATACTTTTGCGACTCTTATAGTTCTTAAGGTAATTGTCATAGGGCAGCACAAAGCAGAAATGAGATATTTGTAAGACATTCAAATCTAAGATTGTCTAACACATGTTTGCCTCATGTGGATCCAAGTGAAGTTCTAAAACAGAAGAGATGTATCTTCTTTTTTCTTTTTTTGAGTTGGAGTCTCACTCTGTCACCCAGACTGGAGTGCAGTGGCCGCTCCCGGCCACCGCAGCCTGGACCTGCTGGGCTCCAGCCATCCTTCTGCCTCAGCCTTCCAAGTAGCTGGAACTACAGGCGCGTGCTACCATGCCCGGCTAATTTTTGATTTATTGTAGAGATGAGGTCTCGCCAAGTTGCCCAGGTGGGTCTCAAACCCGCGGGCTCAGGCAATCC